AGCGCCCTGAATTTCAGCGTTAATGGCCCTGGCCACAGTTTTCTTGGGGTGCCTAGGTACCTGATGCCTAGCATAAGCCTCCCGCAACGCCTCAACAAAAGGAGAACAAGTTCCCTGGATAGTTGTAGCCAACTGACTGTCAGTCTTCTCCAGGAGATCGAAGTTATCCAAGTACACGCGGAACGACGGGTTGCTCCAGGTGAAAGGCCTATCCTTTGGGTGCTCTGCCTCCCAGCCTGCCCTGCCACCCCGCTGGACGCACTCCTTGACCGCCTCTGCGACGATAAACCGGTGGATGTGTTGGGCCAAAGAGACCGAGTTACAAAACCCCATGGGTAGCACTTGACTACAAAGGTAGTAGGGTCCCTCTTGGTCAGGCCACATGCTTTGCGGAACTTGTCGTCCAAAGGCCAGGTAGGAGTGCCACTCCTTTGGAACAGTGAAAATATAAAAGAAACAGCGAACATCTTCAGAGCTCATCAACAAGGTTTCACCGTCCTTCAGTTCAAAGGGGTTCATCGAGGGCCATGCTGGTAGTGTGCTAACGTCTCCGTTCATTGAGCGACAAATTCGGTTGAGTGGTACCAGATTCATGATCAGGCGGTGAACTGGCACGCCACCAACCACGTCGTCCTTGGGGACTCCAAACAGTCCGTTGAACAACCGCCTACCCTGCACCAGGTGAATGTCCGCCTCCCTGATGAGCCCACACACTCTGGAAGCAAGGAGTCCCTTGCACAGGTCCTCCCATGCGCCTTCTGCTACCATGATTTTTGGGGGTTTGGTATAAACCTGCTCATGTTCAGGCAAAAGGTAAGTGCCAAAGTTCAAGGTGTAGTGCAGTGATCCTTTGGTCACCACGCTCTCCAATGGCACTGTTCCCACTTTGTCAGGCAAGGCCGGTTGCACATTCTTCCATGAAGTCGCTTGAGCCACCTTCACCTCGTCACCTTTGTAGTCTAAAGTTCGCACCGATAGATAATCCTCCCAACTTAGGGCAGGGAGGGCAGGACATCTTCTCACAAAATTTTTCGCCTCATCCATCAAAAACATGCAACTTTTGATATGAGCGGCTGACACCTTAAGCGTCTTGTCCGGGTCACTGCCATAAAGTGAATTGAGTCCACAACAAATACCTCTCAACACTTGCAGCACACGTCGATCTTCGCCCGAAAAAGAAGGGTGCCCCATGATCGAGTCAACAGGGAAAGGCAAAAGGTTTCCCATGGTCTTGACCTTGCAAAGCTTGAAAAGTGACAAGTCATGAACCCACCCCTCAACGAACGAGTCGAACGTCCCACACTCCAGCGCCGCTCTTTTTTCAGCATCCTTCTCGGACGGTAAAGGGGGCGGAACCAACGAGCTGGCACCATCGTTTTCCCCTTCTGTACGTGTCCACATAGTCATCGATGTGGTCTTCAACTCAGGCTCATATTGCGTGTCCCAAGTCATTTCCTCTTTCTCGCAGGCTTCGGCAGGCTTTCTTTCATCCATTCCTTTTCTCACTCTCTTCAACTCTTCTGAGATCTCATCCTCTGCAAGGCCATTCATTTGTCGGCTTTGTCTCCGCGAGCGCGATCTTTGTCTCCTCCTTTGGACTTCCCATCTTTGCCCTTGGTCTTCCCTTTTCCTTTGTCGCCCTTCTGGTCGCTTTTCCCGCCCTTCCAGGAGCTGGACTCCCAGCTTCCCTTCTGGAGTTGGCGGCTTTTCTGCTCCTCTCTGTTCTCCCTCGCCACAGCTGTTGCCTCCGCTTGCGATGCCAAGCTCCCCAAGTCCATGGGCACGATCTTGAAGCGCTGGGACATCTGCCATGACGAGCCACTCGCCATGCTTTCCAGTGCCTTGAGTCTCTGGACCAAGACATCCGCGGCATGAGCCGACTGGCAGCTCAGGAGCGCGTCCAGCGCCGCCGAGATGTTCAAGGCCTCGCGGGCCATCACCGGAGTCATCTTGGGCCGCAGGATCTGCCTGTAGAATTGCAGCCCTACAGCTCCCACGGGACTCATCTCCAAGCCCTCTTGCCCTTGCACCTGCAGCATTTGCTTCCGCATTTGACGAATGGCGTGATAAGCCAATGCTCCTGGCCCTGCTTTGGATGCCAACTGCGTCCTCTGACTTTCTTGGAAGAGGTCCTCCATTCCTTCTTCTGCTTCCGAAGGTGAGCTCGTCCCGGTCGTGCTTGAACTCTTCGACTTCTTCTTCATGGCGCGTCTTGCCAACCGAGAGATCTTCTTTCTGATGCGGGCATCCTGGTCGAGCCCCGTCCCTTTGTATAGTGCCGCATGATCTTTCTTTCCACTTGGTTTGAACGATTTCTTCTTCTTCTTTTTGCGACCTCCACTGGATCCACTGGAGCTCTTCACTTCTTGGCGCCCCTGCGCCTCTTTCATCACCTTCTCGGGCTCCTTCACTTCTTCCACTCCTCGTGCCAGGGCATCCGACCTCGCTGCCAAACGCCGCAGCTCCTCCATTCCAGTCGGCTCCTTGAGGTTGTCGACCCAAGGGGGGCTGTCGGCTCCCCGATGTTTCACTTTCTTGAGGTGCAGGATGTCGTCCCCTTCCGGGATGTTGCCACAGCCTTCCAGGCATACATGACATCTCAATGGAGTCCCTGCATTGCCGGTCGACCACCTGAGAAGTCCCTCGTCCTCGGTGCCGGTCACCCAGGTCATAACTTCGAGTGCTCCTCCATGAAATCTCAGGGCATCCACCTCCACTGCTACGTTGATCTCGCGATTGAAGTAGTGCCCGTTCCCAGGAGTCGAAGCCCTGGCTTCCATACTCCCACTGGGATCTGATGAGCAGCAACCTCCTCTCCAGCCTCAAATCCCGAGACTCTCTCCTCGGCAGGTGCAGGCCTTCTTCTCAAAGCTCCTTCGCGACCACCTTCTCCGTCAGCTTCTCCTCGATCTCGTTCTCCTCGATGTCTCCCTTCAGCGGCAGGCCGTCGCCGCGGTCTAGGAGGCATCCACCCTTCTTCTACCAATGCCCCTCTCTCTCTTCTCGGGCCTTCCGCTTCTCAGCCCTCCGCTCTGCCACGTAGTCCTTGAAGTATCGCTGAGTCTCAACCTTCTTCTTCCCCTTGTTCTTCGCTCCTTCGTATGGCCGATACTCAGGGCTATCAGGAGGGCCTCGGTAGACAGGTCGAGCAGGCACCAAGATGGTTTGGCCAGCGAACCCAGGAGGGGGATTCGAGGCAAACCTTGGTCGTCTGACCTCCCGATGCTCCACCCTCCCCTCTGGGGCGTGTGTAGGCCTGGGTACTCGCTTCTCCGACTTGCTGGCTGCTCTCCTCCGACGTCGATGGGAACTTTCACCTCTCCTCCGGACCTTTGGCGACCTTGTACGACTCGCTTCACTCCTCTTCCTCCGTCTTCGTCTGCGGTGAGGAGATTCTGGCACTACCTCCCTTACACCGTGGCTCTCTTTGTTCTCCTCGTCGCCCTCGCCGCTGGCCTCAGGCTCTGTCGCCACTTCAACCTCCTCAGGACGATGTTTTGCCTCGCTGACCTCCTCACGAATTGCCTTGCTTTTCGCAGTCGAATCCTTTGACTGTTTCTCCGCCGATTCCTCTTCGTCCTCTTCTTGCTTCACTGCAACTCCTCCTGGATGTCGATCTCCCGCACTGCCTGGAATGGAATTCTCTGCCTCTCCTGCCTTCTCACTTGGTTGGGCTTCTTTCTCTTCTGCCTGCTTCTTCTTCTCGTGCTCAGGCTCTCCTTGGCCCGCTTCTTGATCTCCTCCTCCTGCCTCTCGACTTCCGACTTGGGGAGGAGGACGTGCCAGGTCCTCCCGTTCCCCAGGATGTGACTCTAGAAAGTCACTGAGCTCGCCGATCACGTTGCGCACCCTGACCGTCGCAAAGTCCACGAAGGCCGGGGTGTTGCGAGCCAGGCTGAGCACCCGATGGAGCCGCTCCACGGACGTGCACAGCGTGCACGTGCAGCCCCGTGGATGGCCCCACATATGCTGAGCCAGTGCTGCGGAGAAAACTTTCTCTTGACTCCCCTACGTCTTTAAACACGGGGGCGTAGTTACATATAGTATAATAATATGTTACAGTATATAACAAAAGTGTGCACTGCTGTTGGCATACTGCGGAAAATGAAGCTAGAACATGCTAGAACCAAGAGTGGGAAGCAACTGCGATTTCACGGTGTATCTTTTCTATTAGACCGATGACCTTACAGGCTCTAAATTCTCAAACTCTGCACTTTCCCTTTCCAATTGCTTTCTTCAAGGGTTTCTAGATACATGTTTGTGCTAGCGCTGCTAGGGCATTGATGTGTCCATATTAGCCACGCAACAAAGCAAAGACCGCGCGCAAGAATGGTTCCCAACTGAGCTGGAGCTGATGAACCTACAAAAAGCAAATGGTCTGGCAAGAAATCACTGCTGAGATGTGGAAAGAAATAGACTTGTTTGGGTATGCAAGTCTGCGATCCAGGACTTAGAAATTTGCTTCCACAATCCGCGCTGACAGGGTAAACTGATCCTGTTTGGCATTGAGCCTGAGCATTGCACGCACGGGGGAATCCGTGATTCAACTCTGATGTACTTCTTGCTAAGTTCACTGAGTACTGGGCTGCACTTTTTGCAAATGGCTTCCAAAAAGCTCCCTCAATGACCTGCATCCAAACAGCTGAGCCCAATCACCCGTCCAGTCACCAACAGAGGCACAGCGCATGACACAGACTGTCCAAGCAACGTGTTTGTGTTTATAGAATAATTTCTAGTATAGGCTATTATACCTCTACATAATAATCATAATAAATAATTCATAATATTTATACCATGCACGGCCTCGTCAAAGAAACTGCAGTCGCACCAGTTTGCTGTGCCATGTCCTGTCGAATCTAGAACACTGATTGAAGACTGTAAGTTGTCCGTCCATGTCCTTCGTCGTCTAGCAATTGTTCCAGCATGTTCCTGCAGATCCCCGTCCTCTCTATGCAAAGCAATGCGAAGCAAATATCGCACAAAGCCATACCTTAGACGGGCAAGTAACCCAAAATATACCCAACCTACACTACACAACCCAACCTGGCATCGGAAGCGGCGTACTTGTTTTCTGCGTTGGCAGTCGAACCAACCACTGTCCCATTCATCTCAATCCAAAAGTTGTCTGCCAGGAATCTGGCACTTACGAAGTGTGAAACGAGTTTCCAGCTTCACCATGGCTCAGTCCATCTTCAGGCTGAAACAACCTAGCAATCTGGGATAATCTTGAGATCTTGGCGAATCGGGACCTGGAAGGATAGGGAACTGGGACCCGTGTGCATCGTCAAGCCTTGGCCAAAGCTGTAAAGTCCTTCACACATACGTCCAGCGCTGCAGATGCTTGCGCCATGAACCTGAGGGCGCAGTTTCAGCGCGTGAATACGTTTGAGAAGAAAGAACACGGTCACCTCAAGCAAAATTTCCCTGGCACAACAGGGGCCCACACTTTCTGAAGCTCTCAGGGCCACCATTGATTGCGAAGATGGTGCAATACGCCTGACACTGGTACTGGTGAATTCGCGGATTTGCAATTGTTTCCCTTTCGTTTTGCTCGCAGGTAATTCAAATCTACAGAATTCTACAGCTGGTGAGATCAAGCTGCAAGCCTGGTAATCAAGTTGAGATAGGTGTTGGAGCACATCCTGCGGGGGAACGTGCCAAGACACTCCAAACAGCTGATCCAAAATGATTCATTCGTGTTCAGCAGGTAGGATGTTGTAGGTTCAAGCACAATTGCATCGGAGATTGTAGTAACAATCAAAGCCTCTGGAGAATTAGATTCGGAGATCTCGAGTTCACAACGGTGTGAGAGCTTGCAACTGCAACTTTGGAAGCACCTGTTGTTGAGAGGGCAGCAGCAACAATAATGTATGTACAAGTAGCAGCTTCAGGAGCAGCAGCAGGAATAGCAACAGCAAAAGCGGCAGCAGCGAAGTCCACTCCAAGACATCCTCAAGACTCATTTTCACTTTGGCTTGCAGGCATCTTCGAAAAGCATTTTGCACGCAGAGTCTTCTTCGGAACAACTTCAAGTCTGTGAAAAAGCTCTTGCGAGACTGCCACCAAATGTGAGCAGCTGCTTAAGAAGTTGGTAATGCCCTGTGCCTGCCACAAAGTCCAAGCTATCCAGTGATCAAGAAGATCGCACAAGTGCTGCGCTAGTAACGAAATCTGCACTTGGCAAGTTGCCCGATGCCCCTCCACCTCCGACGCAAAACGACATTGAAGGCCTCGAACTGGAACAACTTCATGCAACTGCTCTACGCTGCTTCAGTCAACAAGAATTCTAGAGTTTGAGCTAGGTAAAGACCTGCAAAGACCAGCTGGACAGCTGCATAGATTTGTTTCATCTCCTCCAGCTCAGGGACTCCTGAAGGCTCTTCCATGTAGACCTCCATCAAAGCATCCTTCACATGTCTGCCAAACAAAGAAGCATCAGCATGCATCAGCCATCAGCCTGCAAAGTTCTTTTTTCGACCAGTCGGCTGTTCTTACCTTCTATCTCAACCCGGCACCTAAATACACCCTTTCTATGTTGGTTTTGCCTCTCCTTGATTTTGAAGAGTGGCGAAACAGTTCCAACTGTTCCTGCTACTCGCCGAATGTCATCACCATTGCAATCAACTCCTTGGTGGGGCTACAGGGCGAATGTCAATTAATCGCTGGACTGTACAGTATCAGCAAAACTGACTTGCTGTTTGAAGGTCTCTGTCATTCTCTAGTCGACTGTACCTTTGCAAATCGGCGTCTGGTCCAGCATTCGTCTGCTCTCAGCTTGTCCAGAGCATCTTTGCTAGCCAAGATCTGAGTTGCAGCTCCTTCAAAGCAGAGCCATGCTTTGCCAGGCGACAGAAGGCAGAACAAACCAGAAAACAAGAAAAGCAAAACAGCACAGTCGAAAGCACTCAAATGGTCTGCAGGCATTCATCAGTCACATCCACTAAGACTAATGATATGAGCTCCTTTTTCTTGCATTCTGTACATTCTTGAATCTTGACTCTCCTGCTGCCTTCGCAGGCTCTGTGCGAAGGGCAACCAGCGTAGCTAGTCCAACTGCATGACGCCTGCTGAATCACGATTCACGATTCTGTTCCTCTCTGACCTGGATTTTGTGGCAATGGCTTCACAAACGACATGTCAGGAAGTCCTCGAAGTGTCGGGAACCTGACACAGATTGCAAAGGCGCATTGGAGCACCAATCTCGGTCTGCAGGCTACAAAGCTGGAAGCGCCCCGAGCAATTCAAGCGAACCTCTGCAGCTGATGTAAGGAAGGCATCCCAGCTAGGTCTAGGCCAGCAATCAGAAGATGATCGAGTCCAACTCTAAATATTTTACAAATCCTAAGCAAACAAACTGGCAAGGCTGCTCGATGCAGGGTGGTCCGGCCTCACCAAAAGGACCAATGCAAATGGAAGAGCAAAGGTTCGGCTGGCATTGCCTCACAAAGCGTTGAAAGTGCCACTGCAAGAGAAAGTGAGTGAAGTTCCACTAATTTAACAGAGAACGGAATGGACTGCAAACAGAACAGAAAGGGACGCTCTGGAGGCCTCAGTTTTTCCACGTGTGTTTTTCAATGTCCAAAAGCTGTTAAGTAATATGCTATTCAAAAAGCGTATTGTGTGTTTAAAAAATATCCAAAGAAATAATGTTAAAGCAAAAAGACCTAAAAGTAAAAGACATGATAATTTCACAAGAGGGGTCTTTATATTTCGAGAGGGGGAGCGAAAATAGAAGTTGCTTTATAGTTGTTTGTTGGCGACCCCCTCGAGCGGGCCAAGGCTACTTAGCTAAGTAAGGCTACTCAGTTAAGTAAGGGCCACTTAGTCAACTCAAAAAGAAGCGCTAAATCTGGAACTTCGTGTGCAGCCATCTTCACGATCAAAGGCAGGACTGAAAATAAGGACATACTGTTGAACAAAAAAACAATAGAACATGTGTTTTACAATCTTTGTGGAACCTCAAGCATGAGCTGCCCTATGGGCCTTTCCGTGAAAAGAACGTACAAAAAGACATGGGCGGGACCCTAGGGGATTCCAGGAGGGATAGAAACCATAGGATCCAGGTTCATTACAGTAATTTTTCAAATTCATGAGGGAATCGATTTTGAAGTTCATGAGCAATGGTATTCACAATTAAGAACCTCCCCATTTATTTCAATTTGGTCCAGCTATGGGGTGTGCACCACTATGCGGGGCAAATGGGCAGGCAAAGGAAAACAATCAGGAACAATGGGCACCTAAATGTGTGAAGAAGGTGATGGCCTTAGAATTAGAAGACCCACTCAAAGTTCATGAAGCATAAACTATTGCTTGATGGAGGACTGACGGCAAACGACAAGCAAATTGGTCCATTTCAGGAGTTAATTGGCGTTAATACCGAAATTCCTGGCATTGACAACGAGATCTCTTGCATGATCAGCATGGCGAGGAGCTCGATGATATTGGCCGTGCAGAACAGATACTGGGCATCCATCTGTTGCTGCAAATCAATGGAGTAGGTAGTGTGCTCTTCTTGAGTAAGGAATCTGAGACTTGCAAATCAGCGATTGAGATCATTGAGATCTGATCATATTGGGTGATTTGCTACAATGGGGACTGATAGGTGAGTCTGTGCCCAATTTCCCATCACCCAACAGGAAGAATGTTGCCACTAGGCAGGGGAGTGGGAGCAATCAATGTGGCTTTGTCAAACCCGGAGGAGGAGATGGTGGCATTGGAGGGAATTGGCTGACAAGATTGAGCAAATTAGCCAAAGCATTGCAAAATGCGAAAGAAACCGGGATGAAGGATGAAGCAAAGGAAGGAGCATGACGATAAAATCCTGAAGGCAACCCAAAAACTGCAAAATGAGAGGATCAAAATGACCTAAGCCGGTTCGCGTGCGTCGTTTTGCTAAGGGGTGCATGCCCTTTCGCGCCCGCGCGGTAAAAACGTTAAAAAAAAAATATATTTCGAGTTTTGTTGTTTTTACCGCGCGGAAGGGCAACCTGCGACCCCGCTGACCCCGCTGTTAAAAACGGTAAACATAATGACAAGTTAATGTTTACCGTTTTTTACCGCGCCGGCCCCAGGAAAAACGGTAAAAGAAAGGAACAAATTCGATGTTCACCGTTCTTACCGCGCGGGTGTTTAAACAAATCAAGGCGACCCCGAAAATCAAGGCGACCCCCGGAAAAAAGAACGCCGATGTTTACCGTTTTTACCGCGCGGGTGCCTCGGGGTTGGGTTTAAAGCAAGCTACAGGAACCCTCCCTAAACAAAAGGCTTTAGACTTAAAGCAAGAAATTTCCCGAAAGTCCCGAAAGTAGGAAACCTTAACATATAGCCGTTTTAGCGTAACAATTCAGGCCGCACCTTACAAAAACACAATCAATAAACATGTCCAGGACTAAGCCGAGGTACCCCGTGGTTAGAAAATCTGCCCACACCGTTTGTCGGTGCAGGGCGTGCTATGGGGCTCTCAAGCTCTGCTGCTATGCAAATAGCTTTGCTAAGGTCCTTTTTTTTTGTATGGTTGGGCTGCAGGGCCACTGGGGAGAGCGTTTTGGAGGTACATGTTTGGATGATTTTTCGTTACTGGAGGAGCTTTTGTTTTTTTGGTGTGGTTGCTGCGTTGGTTCTTGCTCGGCCTGCAGGGCCACTGGGGAGAGCGCTTTGGAGATGTATTTTTGGATGGCTTTTGGCAATGCCAAAGTTGTATCACCATTCTGGGCTCCAAGGTAGCCCCAAGATGGCTCCAACGCAGCCGTAGTGCGTGGCTATGGTTGAGCTGCAGGGCCACTGGGGAGAGCGTTTTGGAGGTACATTTTTGGATGATCTTTCGTTACGTCGTGCTTGCAGGGCCACTGGGGAGAGCGTTTTGGAGGTGTATTTTTGGATGGCTTTTGGCAGGGCCAGGCCGAAGTTATATCACCATTATGGGCGCCAAGGTAGACGAAGTTGGCCCCAAGATGGCTCCAACGCAGCCGTAAGACAGCCAACCTGGCGCCTAGATGGCTGCACTTGTCCCCAACCTGGCGCCTGGATGGCTACTTCCATTTCACTAACTTCGGCTGTTCGTGCGCGGTGTGGGCGGCTGTCGACGCGAAGCGTCTTGAATAAATGTTGCCGAACGCCAAAAAGAAGCAATTTGAAAAAATGCACTCCCAAAAAAACATCCGAGTAAGACCGTCCAAAAAGAACTCATGGTCTGCAAAAACAGGCAAACCACTCGGAAACAAGAACATAAAAAAATATTTGACCGCGCTAATCTTGTAAAAAAAAATATAGGAAACACAAGTACAACAAATAAAAATGGCACCGCACATATTGTATGAAATATATAGATACCTATCCGATCAAAAAAAATGATATACAGTATCTATATTGTATACAAATCACAGTGCCTGCCACGCAATGCATCCGACCCCCTAGAGAACATAGTGGCATCATAGTGGTAATTGGTTGGTAGCACTTGGTGGGTGGCAATTGGTTGGTGACAATTGGTTGGTGGAAATTTGTTGGTGGCAATTGGTTGGTGACAATTGGTGGGTGGCAGTTGGCTGGTGGCAATTGGTTGGTGGCAATTGGTTGGTGGCAGTTTGGTTGATGACACTTGGTTGGTGACAGTTGGTTGGTGGCAATTTGTGGGTGGCAATTGGTGGGTAGCAATTGGTGGGTGGCAATTGGTGGGTGGCAATTGGCGGGTGGCAATTGGTGGGTGGCAATTGGTTGGTGGCAAGCGGGAGGCGGGAGGAGGAGGAAGGAGGAGCGGATACCACACTAAAAACAAAAACCCCATGCGTCAATGTGGTGAAAAAGGGCACACTTTGAATGCCACAGTTTTTACAGAATAGACAAACAAAAGGAAAGGACAAGGAAGAGGAAAAAAGGGAACAGGAAGCACATGGTAAAGAACAGGACATGGAAGCAGAAAGGAAAAAACATAGGAAAGGAAACAGGACAAGGATAAAGGCACAAAGAATAGGAAAGAAAAAGAACATGAGACAGGAAACGGAAAAAAAAGGCAAAAAGAGAGGACAAGGAAGAGGAAACAATGGCTAAGACCGGGACATGGTAGTAGAAAGCAGAAGGAACGAGAAAGGAAACAGAAAAGGAAAAGAGGACAGGACACAGAATAAAGTGGAAAGGAAAAAGAACAATGAGACAGGAAAAGAACAAAGATGCAAAAAGTACTTCTTACAGTCCGTCGGCTCCGTGAGTGCGTGTGTATGCATGCATAGATTTGCCAACAGTATATGTGTTCAGCGTGTGCATTCTGCAAACTGCAAACATACAGAATAGACAAACAAAAGGAAAGGACAAGAAAGAGGATCAAGGAACATGAAGAAATGGTAGAAACGATAGAACGCATCTTTTTTCAAGATTTGCTATGTCCCAGGATTTTTTAGTCAAGAGCTATTAACAGATAGAATGCCATGTCCAGAGTGTGATTTTTTACAAATGGTGAATACTGTAGGTAAACACCAGGATTTCTTGGAAGATAGAATGCAGAGAATGCACCCAAAAATAACCAAAGAAAAGGGCGCGTTTGCTACAGCTTTACAGAGTAGGCAAAGAAAAGGAAAGGACAAGGAAGAGGGAAAAGGAACAGGACATATTTGGTAAAGAACAAGATATGGAAGCAGAAAGGAAAAGGATAGAGTCAAAAGGAATCCGACAAGGAGGAGGAACAAGGAAAAGGAACCAATTGTTAAGGCCGGGACATGGCAGCAGAAAGGAGAAGGAAGGGGAAAGGAACTAGAAAAGGAAAACAAGAAACATAAAAAGTGGAACAGAAAAGACAAGAAAAAGGTAACAGGAAACAAATAAAGGCAAACAATAGGAAAGGAACAGAACAATGAGACAGGACAAGGAGAGACAAAAGGAAGAGGAAAAGAAACGGATGGAAGAGGAAGAGGAAAGGCAAATGGAACAATGAAAAGGATAGAATAGAATGTTGCATGTGCGCGTCATTGTTTCTCCTCCCTCCCTTGGTTGTTTTTTGAAGCAACACCTTCTTGGAAATAATCCTTTTGTGCAGTAGAACTAATTCCCTAGCAAATCGTCAGTTCAAGCCATTGAATGCAGCCGGATCAGGGCAGGAAATTGTATTTACACGCATACATCCAGTAAAAGGACAGTGTTCAACAAACATTGTTAACACTGTTTTATCTGTTTTAAGACATGTCAAAGACCCAAGTTCAAAAACCCTGTAAAAATGCAGGTTTCAGTTAGAATGCCTCCAAAACGCCATCCCACATTAAAAGTTCAAAACTTGTCCATGCCCGAAAGTCCAACATGGCATTCTATCTTACAGTCCGCAGGTATCCGCAGGTATAAACAAAAAAAACACTTGCTTTTTACCGTGTTTACCGCGCGAGTGCGTCGGGGGAACCCCGTAGCCCGAGCAACACCGCCAATCCAGCACAGAGATCGCAAAGATTGCCAAGAGGAGGTTGGAGAAGGGCCCTGAGCTAAACAAGCTGGAGGAAATGGCCCATAAGGTTGTCAATGAGGCCCAAGAATGAGTTCTGAAGTATTAGATGATGAGGAAGGAAGGGAATTTGGGAAGACACATTGCATTGGCTGGCCAAAGTTCAACATATGCAACACCATTGTCCAATGAGTCTCATTGATAGGGCAACTTGCCAAAGGGATGAGCCAACAATGAGCCAGCGTGAGCAAAAGGTTTCTTAGGAGTTCATTGCAGTTTAATAGGATGAGGGATTGGTGAAATGTGTAAGAGAGTGAAGAAAGGAAAGAGAGGTGATCAATTTCAATATTGCACGACAATTTGGTGAGTAAGTTTAGCCGAACCTTAGGGGCTCCTCAGTTTGGGAAATTGCCAGAAGTTTCTTTTGACAGGCAATTAGTATCGCAGGAAAAAGTATGACCAAACTGATAGGGGGTGTTCAAGAATCAGAAGTCTCAATCAGATTTCTTTTGAGATACAGTATTGCCTTTGAGATGGGTATAAGGAATTAAACTTGTCATATGATGCTATTTGATATTATAGCGCTGTACTCAATTGTCTAAGATCTTTGCTACAAATTGCAAAAAACTCTCTAAAACACGGGCCTCCACAACGTCACACTCTCAAAGAGAACAATCTTGCCAAGTTGCGCCATCTACACATGTCTGGCACTGCTCTATCCCTCCTCTCTCACTCTCTAAACCAAGCAAATTCTGGGTTACAAGGCACCACATTGGCACCGACATGGGCCGAGACATTGCAGATCAAGAGCATCACAAATGTTGTGTACTACACATAACTCAAAATAATTCCGATTGAAATGGATGTCCGCCAAAGCTGACAAGATAGAGTTCCGCCGCATCCTACTATGCTCTGCCATGCAGCTGGTTCCGGAACAAGCATTGCACCTTGGAGAATCCCTTGCATGACTACTGATTCTTAAACTTAGCGCGATGCAAGCTCAAGCCGTAGTCTTGCCAGCTGGTGTCTTCAGACTCTTGCCTATGTGCACACATGTAAGTTCGCAAGGCAGTTGCCCCTCTGACCATTCGCATTCGGCACTTGCACGCAGTGAATATATTTTGGGCTTGAAGCAAGTGAGTCCCAGACAAATTTGGCACTTCCATGTGAAGAATCTTTGCATGTCTGGCAAAGTGAAGTAGGTCGACAAAAATGGTGGAGATTCGACAAGTCCGCATAGTCTACAATTATATAATTATATACAACCGTCTCGTCTAGCCTCACTCTGTACATCAAAACTCTTTCTGGGAACTCTCGATTAGATTGCGCTGTCAAGGATCTTAACACGCGCAGGGAGTGCAGTGTCACACTTGCCTGGAGTTTGGGCAACAAAGTGCTGCGCAAGGTTTCACCAGATGGCAAACCCTGGCCAAGGCCTCCAAAGCTTCTGGTTCTGCATCCAAAACCTGCCAGCAAAACAGGTGAACAGCTCAGCCAGCTTGGCTTGCGCAAATTGCCGACCTGTCTAAAAATCCTCTGTGCTGCAGCCTTTGGCAGGAATAGGCAGGGGCAAGACCTTGGAGTGCAAACATGTGAGGACGATGTTTCTCTGAGGAGCAACTATATAGCGCTAAGCTAGCTCGCAAATGGGCATCCCGGTAGAGCTTTGCTATGCCACTCCAATAGACCTCCGTCTAAGAAACATTGTCGAGGATCATGGATGGAACACGTCAGAATCAACTCTGTGTGTGTTCCAACTGCGCTCTTAAGCTTTTTGTGGCAGTGTTGGTCTGTACACGGAGAACACCATAATCGCCACCCTCAGAAATCACCTAGGCGCGAGGGAGGATATCCAAAGAGCGCGCTTGGTGGGCAAAACTCAAAACAGTCGCATCTCGGTCACCTCGCCGCTAAAGTTCTTTTGGCTGACCAGGCCACGCAACTCCTGGGAAGCGCTCTGAACTTGAATCTGGATACCGTCAAGGAAATCTGAAGACCGTCATGAAATGTCATGACAAAGCAAATAAGCTTCATTTACGGAAGGTTCAGCTCGCTACAACTTGCTACCCTATCATTTATGGCGCGGCGTTGCGAACCCTTTGACTCTGAAGCCAAGAAACTTTGGTTGCCGTAGATGCGGCAGGGAGGAGTGCTCGAGAAGCCCGTCAGGCTAGGTGGGTCCAAAGCAGCGGATGTCATTGGTGTTCAACAGGGTGTCTTTCAGGTACAAATAGAAAACTATAACTTCACGTGTGAATTATCGAATTACTTTGAATCATAATGATCCTAGAACAAAAATGACCGTTTTGATATCATTGGCATCCATTTGCTCATACTCTGCACATCATACGTTGCCAAGTGCCGCCATGAGGCCCAGCCCAAAAGGCACTTCGAAAGCCATGGTTCTCTGGATCAACAACTGCCTTGAACGAAACGGTCTGTGACGTGGTCTGTGCTTATCACTGAGTATGCTTCATATGCATATCTCTGCTTATCACCGAGTTTGACACCAAGCCATGGAAGAAACCATATGCAACCTGAAGCTTTAACACACAAGTGCACTGATCTTCACACATGTTTGGATGCAACAAAGGGGTCAGCCTATCACGGTCCACCGTCCCATCAACAACATGTCTACGCACGCCACAGTTGCTGCCATAGCTAGATGGCAACATTTGGGCCTTCGCCGCCTTCACCCCATGTTGGTTCACTTCCCTGCTTGACACTGTGTAGTAGCAGGGGGCATTAGCGCAAACATCATTCGGGAAGCGGAAATCAACACACAATTGCACTTGACCTTGCTGCACAAGAGACGCCCACTGCAGAACCCACTTTCAATCCAATTGCCACCTGAGTTGCTCTTTCTTGTCCTGTTGCATTGCAGGTCTCATGTGCTTCTACTACTCAGCGATTTAAAGCCCCTTTGAGGCTATTGAAATGAATTCTCCTGGGTTCTCTAGGATTGTTGAAAGTTCGGAGCATTTTGGTTAGCTATCCTACCCCTACGAGTATCGGAGCATCATTGGAGCTTGCGGCAGCACCACGGGATCATGTCTCTGTTTTATACACTTATATGTGTTCCGATTCCACAGGGTGCACGTTTAATTTGTGATGTTTTCATTTTTTCGGTTTTTTTCAAAAACATTGGACTAGAGCAGGTTTCTTATTAGTACCGAGCTAATTACAGCAATTTCTTGTCCTTAGCCGAGACACAGGTGCCGTAGCTAGCCAAATACATTGGAATAGTGCAGGCTTTATATATATTGCTAGCTGATTAGACTAATTTGGGAGCTGTCGTAGCTGGCAAAATAGATTGGAATAGTGTAGGTGTTAGAGAAAATCCTACGTTAGCAGAGAAACAGTAAAGATAAAGAGAACCAGCACATGAGGCATATATGATTGGTTAGAAGTTTATGCCCCGGGGAGTTCACCTTAAAATATTGATTTCGTGGCAGGCGCGGGTGTCGGAGATGCGGGGGGGGGGGGGGGGGGTGGGGGGGGGGTTGGGGGTGAAAGAGTGACTAGGGCGTACACGGTAGAGGTGCAGACCGCTAGTGTCTTTTATGCGCAGAGTCTTATCCTCTTGCTCTTTGAGCCTTGAAGCAGTCAAGTATGGACACACTATATCGGCTGTTGGAGTGGAACCCTGTACAGGTAGGCTCTACTTTTCAGCAGGCACAAGATTCATGTCCACTCCTAGCTGATTGCGTATGTCGCACACTCTTTTTCTACTGCAAGGCTAAAACAGTCCAGCTAGCTCTAGCAACTTAAAAGAAAACTACGGTGCCATGTACTTACCTAATCCAGTGTGTTTCACACTACAGAGAAGGTAATCTCAAAGCTACTAAATACAGTGAGGGAGCAATAGCTGACTCACCTCAAGTACAAAATCAAAACGATAATGTACCTCGGCTGGAGACTGTATTTTTCACAGGCGGAGATACCATGTACCGGCGCTCACTAGCTCTTTATGGCCTGAGCTAAATCAAACTAAAAAGGGAAAGCGGCTTTTTCTCTACAGAGACCTATAAAAGAATCAAACGACACTCGCGTAACGAAGAACTAAAAATTCAAGACCGCACAAATTGCAATGAATTAGGATGCCTTGCAAAATGCAAGGAGCGTACGGTCCGAGGAATAATCTTCTCGTGACGTGGTCTCGACCGCTTTCATCCACAAACAAAATAAAACTGCATCAAAAGGACTCTCTTTCACATTCACATCAAAAACACAAGAAGGAGATACCGGCAAATGTATGTACAAAAAAATCTTGCACTACAATTGCAAATCATGAAATGACTTAATCATCAACCATGACTGGTTGTCCATTAGAGGTCATCTCAGAAAAAGCGGCTGTAATAGATATCATCAGTTATGCAAAACTGTCCATACCTATCTACATGCTAAAGCGTATAAACCTGGAATGCAGGAGTATCTTCTTTGATAAAAAGTTTCTCCTCATTGCAAACCAGAATTTATTAAAACTTCAGCCTGGCAACTTAAAGTCAAGCCTGGAAGCAAAGTATCAACTGTAACCAGAAGTATCTTCACTTCCTAGCCATCATTTAAATTTCAGCCTTCGCTCAGGAATTATGCCGCTGCAGACGATGAAGCTGCTTGATCAGAAGTTGGCGGCCTTCCTTTCTTTCTATTCTGCTTCTGTCTCTCCTTCCTCCGCACGTTCGCCTCATGAAGCGTTGCTCCCATGCGATACTGTCTTCTGTCTCCAGATGAAAAGGAAGCTGGTCTGAGTGAAATAAACATTGGACCATGACTGTCCTCGTCAGTGGGCCTTGAGCACATAACCTCCGTGTCAATCATAGCAAAGTTCTCTGAAAAATTACAGATGAACTCCTTCGTGCTCACTGTGGAATTTTCATATTCCTCTTCACTCATTGAATGACCCCATTCAACAATGGTAGACAAACATGTATCGCCAAGCTGTGATCCTTGGTATTCTTCTTTTTCAACAGTAGAATATTCTTCCCAGAGTTTATCAAAGTAAACTTCACACTTCTTGAGGACCTGTGAAGTTGAACTGTAAAATGTTCTGGGAATAGGCGCTTTGATACCAGGATCTGCGTTTACACGAGCTTCTGAAAAACTGCGGATCCAATGCTGCATGGTGCTGTAATAGTAGTTAGCCATTGGCCCAGAAATGATGTCCACCTCATAGACAAAACACTCGTAAAGCATCAATGCTGTCTGTTCTCCTGTCAGTAGGTGGGCATCCACAGCACGGTGTGTATCAACATGATAATTACAGACTCTGATGGTATGCATGTTCGCTCGAGTAAGTGGAACACGCTTGTCCTCAGGACCATAGTCATCAAATTCAAAGTCCTGCATCCTTGAAATCTTGACGAGGCCTTGTTTCTCCAAAACAAATCTCGTAGATAGCCCAAGTTACATCACGCTGTTCACAGTGACCAAGTTCTTGATCATGTCCAGCAATGATCTTGACATATCCACCTGGTGCCAATCTAGCCATCACTGCAAGATTCTCCCAATCATTGAAACAAACTGTCCAATTCTTTTGCTCAATAAATTCCTTGGCAGGAACAAGAAGATGAGCTTCCTGGAGAATCACGACATGTGCACGTAAAAAGAAGAGCATGTTGAAGAAAAGGTTGTTCTCAAATTGCTCATTCTGAAGTGACATGGCGCTCTGTTTGCGTGGCCTCATTGCACTATCAAGTCCTTGGAGAAACCTTGGTGTGGTGTACTTCTGACCACGAACCATGTTGCCATAGTTCCAGGATAAAAATGTCAAGGACTCTGAGCTGGCCAATAAGTTAGTTCCATATGGTTCTTCTATTCTTCCCTTGAGGAACCTTCTGCACAGCTCTTCATAGAAGGTGACAAAGTCCCAACTGGGTCCCTTAGGACCATATGATTCCAGTTCCTTCTTAAGTTCCTTCTTCGTATCCTCCAATTCTTCTCGAGCATGTTTTGCCCTTTCAAGGGCCTTTGGATCGACCTGATACTTGCCATCCAAATGAATGATGCGATCATCATTGATAAAGAATCTCTTCAAATCATGCTCTGGTTCGTGTTCATAACAATCAGGTGGAGGTACTGGACAGATATTACGAATGGATCGAACAAAATCATTCTCGTTGATCCTCGACTGATAATGAGGATGGGAAATCTCACCTTTTCTGAAACAAACATGGTTCAGCAATCTCGCGTGAGTTTCCCTGAAGCATAGTTGATAAAAGCCAATACCTGGATCTCCTGTAAGCTCTCCAAGCAACTTCAAAGGTGAAGTATGCAACTCATAGGTATTGTCAACTTTTGTTGTATCCTTTTCAGCAACTACTTCAGATGGAAAAGATTCCTGGATTTCAGCCTCCAATTTCTTCTCTCCATCATCCTCTCTGACCTCTTTTATTTTCTCCACCGCCTCTTTCTTCTCTTCCATGGTTGCATCATCCTGAACTTCTTCATGAAAATGAGGATCAGGTATTTTATTCAGGCGGCTTTTCTTAGATTTCGGCAGACGTGGAGTATCATCAAGGTTAGCATCCATCTCACCTGATGGTAAGTGCGATGCAGCCGAGTCCTCACCTATCTCTCTTGACAGAAAGTGTGGCGTTGACTCCTCCTTGGCTTCCTCCTGGTCCACTTCCATCTTTGGTTCCTCTGAAGGAAAAACACCTGCATTCTCATCAAATATTTCTTCTTCCCTTTCAGGTTCAACTGCAGGATCTTCTTCAGGAACTTCCTCTTCCATATCCTCATCTTCTAGAAGTGCCATACTTCCAGTATAGATTCCACCAGCGATAGTGGAGACTCTTGTATAAGGAGGAACTTCTTCACCTGCATCAAAGGCTTGTTCTGCAACATCCTTGGTGAGCAAGTCCTCTACAAGATTTTCTCCCATGGTTCTTGGAAGAGGTCCTGAGGTCTCATAAAAATCTGTCCTCTCTGAACTGAAAGCTTCTGTCGCCTTCTCATTGTCCTTTTGATGCCTGAACAGGTGAGTAATCTTCACAGCTTCTCCCTGTAGCACCTGATCGCCTTCTCTATACTTGTCGACAATGGAGCGCCATACTGGAACATTATCATCATCGAAATCAAGCTCCATATCATCTGCCAACAGGTATGAGATGTTTTGAGCTGCCTGTTCTTCTTCTTCATCACGTTCTTTGGCAAGCTCCTCATCCTTCTGGATCTTGAAGATACCCTTCAGGATGTCTTGTAGTACCTTTAAGTTCAGCTTCGATGATGGCTCATACGTCCCTGAACTTACAGGCTCAACTACAACACGAGAGCAAGAAATCGCCTCCAAAAACTTGGAATTGTATTGGCGTTCAAACTCTTCCTTCTTGATCATCTCATACAAGGGATCAGAAACTGCAACACGCGCCTGAACATACTCACGAAGTTGATAGCATGCATGTTGCACAAATCTACTGTTGGAGTTGTGAAGAAAACTCTCTAAATGATTCCTGTCACGGTCAATCAAATACCACACAATTCTTGCAGAAAAACGGAATTTCTTGAAGTTCATATTAAAATGTGTATGATACTTCTCTGGATCCTCTTCTGCTTGTAAGGCGGCCTCTGAAGTCTTGTAAAGAGGGATCTTTGTGTGTGGATCCAAGATCATAAACTCTTCCCACAAGATTGAATGCTTAAGAACCCACCTGGGAAGCACCTTGACGAAAAAGTCACAAACAAGTTCAGACAAAAGGTGCGTGACACGACCAATCTCTTCCTCCTGCTTGAAGCGATAGTGCAATTTGGCAAATAAAGGATTGTTGAATGCTTCCTCCACTGTGTTGCCAAAATTATCCCACTGAGGTTCTGGAATACCAAAGTTCCAACCCAGCAATTTGGGATCT